AGACCCGTCATATTGGTGGGTCTCGCCGCCACCTGGGTTGCCGGCATGCTGTTCGCGTCCGCGGAGCACCTGCTGCCCGAGGGGAAGGCCCCGGGGCCGCCGCCCCTCCCCATCACAGGGCTCGCAGGTCTGCGGCCGTCTGGCCTGCCAGATGGGGTCCGAGTGGACGGGGTCGGATCACCACCTACCAAACCACCCCAACCCAACCCGAAGGCCTCAATTTGCCCTCCATTTCCAGTAGGGGGGGGTCGGGGAACATTGAAAAAACACATGGAAGCCGTACCCCCCCCCAACCCGAAATTCGGTTCAAATCCGGGTCTTCGGGTTGGGTTGGGGTGGTCTGGTAGGTAGTCAGACGGAGAAAAGCCCTGGGCTACTTTGTCGTCCCAGGTCCATGTCTGATGGTCTCGGGGCCCGGGAAGGAGCCCCAGATGCAGAAATCGAGGGATAATTAGTCTAGGCCTCCCGGATGGAGTCCGAGCAGATGGGTCGGAGGATCTCGCCGCATCGCCGATGCATAGGCGATGCGGCTCGATGTGGAGCCCGATTTGCTCCACGCCGACGCCGCCGATGCCGTTGGCGTCGCAGATGCATCGCCGATGCATCGGTGATGCATTGACAATGTGGCGCGATGCTCAGTCTCCATCCGCGCTGACCCTATCTGGGAGGCCTCGAGGCCACTTTCAGACCCTGGGGTATCGGATGCACCCGTGCTTGGAGGAGGAAAAGGTCCCGATGCCGTTGCCTTTGCCTCATTTTCCTGCTTCTTGGGTCTCCTGGGAGGCCCTCGTCGCCACGGCTGGGTTCTCCGTGAAGTCCCGACCAGAACGCACCCTGGGAGTGTTGTGTTCCGGGGAGCAGCGGTATCGGTATTTTCGGGCAGGTCCGTGTGTCGTCGACGCGGCGGCGTACCCAGCACGGGCGTTCGAGGTTGAACGCCGCCAGCCGCCAGTGGCCCAGAATCGCCTCATGTCGAACGAGGATTGCTCAAGGTTTAGCGATCCAGTCGGCGTCAAGAACCAGCGCACAAGTCGTCACGACACGAACCTGCTGCAGGGGTTCGCCTGGCTGTGGTGGGGTCCACGCGAGGTAGCCCAGCAGGGAGCGCCGCGCGATTCAAGGGCACTCTCGTCGTCTTCCTTCGGAGTCTGGAGGGGAGGCTGGGAACAGTCGACCGTGCCAGGGGGTGGAGGATGAGCAGGAGGAGGAGGAGCAGGACGAGGAGGAGCAGGAGGAGGAGGAGGAGGAGGAGGAGGAGGAGGAGGAGGAGGAGGAGGAGGAGAATGGGGGATGAAGGTAGGGACACTGCAAATTCGGTCCGCCAGCGGGAGCGAAGCAGCAGCAGCAGCAGCAGCAGCAGCAGCAGCAGCAGCAGCAGCAGCAGCAGCAGCAGCAGTGGGATGAAGGTGTCCTTGATCCTCGGGCCTCCCATCTTGCGGGAACCACCCCGGGCAGAGGCCATCATGTTTGCGGCCCCAATGTATTGGGTGATGGACGTGACCATCAACATTCTGCAGACCCCGCACCGTGCTTTGGTGGCCGACATGGCTTCCAGCGAGCAGCAGGTGCCCATGCAGGTCGTCTTCGTCTGCCTGATGGCCATCGGCAACTTCATTGCGTTTTCCATCATGCAGATCTATGACGTGACCGTGGAGCACATGTTCGAGCTGATGCTGCTCGTGTGCGTCCTCAACACTGCCGCTGTTGGCATCCAGTTCCTGGTGGCCACGGAGACGCCCCTTGCCCAAGACCCAGACAAGGATCGAAGAAGGAACGCCATGCTGAACATCGTTTTCGGAGGCCTGCGCGGACTCCTTTGGATCGGCGCTGGGCTCCCCCCTCTCTGGCGCGCGCCGCGCGCCAGGGGCGGCGCTGGAGGTGCCATTGGGGGCGGGCCCGGCGCCGCTCCAGGACCGCGAGGAGCTCCAACAGTTTGGAGCCTTTGCCAGCCGTGCCGAGAGGAGGGCGCTGGAGCGTGCGCACCGGTGGTCGACGTGGCGAAGGCTGATGGGCCTGCTTTCCACCACCACCACCATCGGCTGGAGGGGGGAAGGATGAGGACGAGGAGGAGGAGGAGGCAGAGGAGGAGGAGGAGGAGGAGGAGGAGGGAGGAGGAGGAGGAGGAGGAGGAGGAGGAGGAGGAGGAGGAGGAGGAGGAGGAGGGAGGAGGAGGAGGAGGGGGAGGGGGAGGAGGAGGAGGAGTACGGAGGAGGAGGAGAGGGAGGAGGAGGAGGAGGAGGAGGAGGGAGGAGGAGGAGGAGGAGGAGGAGGAGGAGGACGCAGAGGAGGAGGAGGAGGAGTACGGAGGAGGAGGAGGAGGAGGAGGAGGAGGAGGAGGAGGAGGAGGAGGAGGAGGAGGAGGAGGAGGAGGAGGAGGAGGAGGAAGAGGAGGAGGAGGAGGAGGAGGAGGAGGAGGAGGAGGAGGAGGAGGAGGACCCTCTCCCCCTCCAACTTATGGTGGTGGTGGTGGTGGTGGTGGAAATCAGGCCCATCAAAGGCGGTGAGGGGCAGCCCGAGGATTCTCTACCACCTGGCCTTCGTACAGTGCCTGGTTTGGGTCGGGCTTACCTCGTGGAACCTCTATGCCGGGCAGTGGTTCTCCTGGGGCCATTCCCGAAAGGGTTTTTGGCGTCTGCTTCCGGCCGACTTGCTGGGAGAAGGCCAGATGGGTCGAGGTGGATCCAGATGCATCGATGGCAGGCCAGGTATATCCAGGAACATCTGGAGCAGATCGCGGACGCTCCAGCGCGAGTCGAAGGGCAGCAGAAGCCGTTAAGCCCTTCGCGAACCATATGTACACCTAAATCTTCGACGATTTGACTTGTTCAATCCAGATGTTTTCACGCTCGATGCCGAACTCTTAGATTTCAGCCTCTGGGGATCGTTTTCGGGCCTCGGGACCATCAACAACGGATCAGAGGGGGAAACGTTGCCCCAGGACAGGGGCCAGGACCCTTGGTGGCCGCGGATTGAAACACTCATATCGGCGGATGTAAAGGCGCAAGTGCAAGTCCAGCGCCTCCCTTCCTCCTGCCCGTCCTGGGGAGGAGGAGGAGGTGGAGGAGGAGGAGGTGGAGGAGGAGGTGGAGGAGGTGGAGGAGGAGGAGGAGGAGGAGGAGGAGGAGGAGGTGGAGGAGGAGGAGGAGGAGGAGGAGGTAGGGAAGGAGGGGTCCCTGGGCATGTACCGCTCATTGGCCTCCAGGTTTGGCGTGTCGGTGTACGGGGGCGACGAGACGGCCCCGCAGGGCTCCCCAGAGCACGACGCCTACGCTAGGGGCGAGGCGCAGTTCGCACAGGGGGGCCAGTGCAAGGCCGTCCTTGGGCTCGTGTCCTCCCTGATGATCATCATGGTCCTCCTGCACACCAAGATCCCCCCGAGGCTGGTGTACGCCCCGTGCATCTTCGGCGGCGCCGTTGTGGCGGTGCTGGCCGCCTTCTTCGTTCAGCAGAACGGCCTCTTCGCGCTCGTCTGCATGGCGTTCTCGGTTCTGCCAGAGGTGGGATCGTTTGCCATCCCTTTCGGCCTTATCGCGGTCCTCAACAAGCGCGCAGAGCAGGAGGGGAAGCAGGTTAGCACGGCTCTGCAGATGGCACTCCTCAACTGTTGCATCACTGTGGGCCAGCAGGTGTGCACTACGATTCTAGCCTGCGTCGAGGGCCAGATGTCGCTTGCGCAGGCGCTGCCAGTGACGTTCATGGTGGCGGCGGCCGCACAGGCGGTAGGCGGCATGAGCGCCCTCTTTCTCGACGACAGCGTCGGGGAGCCTGAGGTGGGCGACGAGGAGCCACTTTAACAGCGGCGCGCTCAGGAGTAATTCATCGAAAACGCCTACGGCGAGCCAGTGTCCTCCCCATGCCTTTCAGAGACGCTCCTGTGACCAAGCGTTGGGCCACCACCTGTCCGAGTTTTTGGACTCTGCCCCCCCAGCCGTTTTGGAAACTTTCGGGGGAATCTTCTTGGGAGGAAACAGATGGAGAAGGAGGGAGGGAGGGAGGGAGGGAGGGAGGAGGGAGGAGGGAGGAGGAGGGAGGAGGAGGAGGCGGAGGAGGAATCGGAGGAGGAGGAGGAGGAGGAGGAGGGGGAGGAGGAGGAGGAGGAGGAGGAGGAGGAGGAGGAGGAGGACCAGAGTCAGGCAACGTTGCACAAGCGATGCTGCAATGCACCTTCCGTCCCAGGTCCCCTCCTCACCATACGTCCCTGCGAGTCCTCTTTTTCTTGACAATATGCGCCCCGCCTTGAAATACGAACACGGTCGGGCCTGCCATTCTGGCAAGGGGAGCATTTTGAACAAGAACTGTCTTGCGTCCTTCTGGCGCGTGTGCCAGCAGCGCGGAACCCCACCTATTCGGGCGAAGGGCCCAATCAGATGCGGGTGCGAGTGCTGAAAGACGGGTGGGACGACGGGATTGTGAGTGCTCTTTATCCGTTGTGTTGCCGATCGGCGCGGGCCCTCGGACCCCTCCCGCCCCCCCCCCGTGGAGCAGATCTTGGCTGTGTTTGGCGCCTGGTTCGAGCAGGCGGAGCCTCTCCCCCCCTTGGGACGCACAGTGGGGAGCAGTCGCAGGAAGCAGAGGTCCGGAGCCAGACCTCCCTCCTGCCCGCACCTGCCGCCACGTGTCGAAGCGCCGAGTAAGAGAACGTTTCCATTTCCGCATGGGGCCACGCGGCGTGTGAGGGGTGTGCCGAAACTGTTGCGGCGGTGGCATGTGGGCCCTCCCACTGGGGCCTTCTGTGGAGCTCTCCGCGGGGCCACGGCACGTGAGAGGGGTGTGCTTCAGTGGGCCCGGCGGTGGCATGCTGGCCCTCCCGCTCGGGCCTTCGGTGGAGCTCCCTTCGGGACCACGAGATGTGTGAGGGGCGTGCCGAAACGGGCGCGGCGGTGGTATGCGGGCCCTCCCACTGAGGACTTCGGCGGAGTTCCCTATGGAGCCGCGAAGCGTGTCAAGGGCGTGCCGAAATGGGCGCGGCGGTGGCGAGCGGGCCCTCCCTCACGGGCCATCGGTGGAGCTCCCTACGGGGCCACGAAGCGTGTGAGAGGCGTGCGGAAATGGGCGCGGCTGTGGCATGCCGGCCCTCCCACTCAGGCCTTCTGTGGAGCTCCCTACGGGGCCACGACACGTGTGAGGGGTGGGCCGAACAGCGTGCCATGGTGGCATGCGGGCCCTCCCATTGTGGCCTTCGGTGGAGCGCCTTACGGGGCCACGAAACATGTGAGGGGCGCGCCAACATGGGTGCGGCGGTGGCATGCAAAACTCCCACTGGGGCCCTTGGTGGATCTCCTTATGGAGACACGAAGCGTGTGAGGGGCGTGCCAGCAGGGTTGCTGCATTGGCGTGCCGGCCCTCCCACTGTGGCCTCGGTGGAACTCTCCAAGGGGCCAGGAAACGTGTGAGGGGCGTGCTGGATTGGGTGGGGCGGTGGCATGTGGGCCCTCCCACTGGGGCCTTCGGTGGAGCTTCTTACGGGGCCATGTCACGCGTGAGGGGGATGCAGACATGAGAGGCAGGAGCCCATGCTGTCACCGCCATAGGAGCCTTCGGTGGAGTTCCCTGCGGGGCCACGATACGTGAGAGGGGTGTGCTTCAATGGGCGCGGCGGTGGCGTGCGGGCCCTCCCGCTCGGGCCTTCGATGGAGCTCCCTTCGGGGCCACGAAACGTGTGAGAGGCATGCCGAACTGGGTGCGGCGGTGGCATTCGAGTCCACCCAATGGGGCCTTCGGTGGAGGAGCTCGCTACGGTGTCGTGACACTTGTGAGGGGATGGCGCGGATATGGTGGTGGTACTGAACGTGGTGATGGTGATGGTGATTGTGATGGTGATGGTGATGATGGTGGTGATGATGATGCAGATGTTGACTATGATGACGATTATGATGATGATGCTGCTGCTGCTGATGATGATAGTTCTAACGATGATAAGATGCTGATGATGATGAAGATGCTGACGATGCTGATGCTGTTGATGCGGAAGCTGATGATGGTGATGCTGTGGGTGACGGTGATGATGATGATGATGCTGCTGCTGCTGATGATGATGGCGATGATGATGGTGCTGATGATGATGGCGATGATGATGGTGCTGATGATGTTGATGTTCATGCTGATGATGATGATGATGATGATGATGATGATGATGATGATGATGATGATTATGATGCTGATGCTGATGCTGATTCTGATGCTGATGCTGATGCTGCTGATGATGATGATGATGATGATGATGATGCTGATGCTGATGATGATGATGCTGCTGCTGATGATGATGATGATGATGATGATGATGCGAGTGATCATTACGATGCTGATGATGACGATGATGCTGATGACGATGCTTATGCTGATGCTGATGCCGATGCCGATGCTGATGCTGCTGCTGATGATGATTCTGATGATATTGATGAAGGCGATGATGATGTCTCTGATGATGCGGATGCTGATGATGATGCTGATGTTGATCATGATGCTGATGACAACGATGATGATGCTGATACTGATGATGATGACGACGATGCTGATGGTGACGATGCTGATGACGACGCTGCTGCTGATGATGGTGATAATGGCGATACTGCTGGTGATGGTGATTGTGATGGTGATGGTGGCGGTTCCGCCGGTGATGCTGCTACTGCTGCTGATGATGGTGATCACGATGACGGCGCTGCTGCTGCTGATGACGATGATACTGATGATGGTGCTGCGGATGATGATTCTGATGATGATGATGAATGATGCTGCTGCTGCTGATGATGATGATGATGATGATGATGATGATGCGGATGCTGATGATGATGCTGATGATGACGCTGATGCTGATGCTGATGCTGGTAATGATGCTGCTGCTGATGATGATGGTGATGCTGATGACCACGATGATGATGCTGATGCTGCTGATGATGGTGATGGTGATGCTGACGATGCTGATGAAGACGATGATGACGATGCTGATGATATACTGCTGCTGATGATGACGCTGTGGATGACGACGACGATGATGCTGGTTCTGCTGATGATTCTGTTGATGACGATTGTTTTGGTGCTGATGATGACGATGATGCTGATGCTGGTGATTGTGATGTTGATGCTGATGCTGATGCTAATGCTGATGCTGCTGATGATGCTGCTGCTGCTGCTGACGATGATGATGATGATGATGCTGATGCTGATGCTGATGCTGCTGCTGCTGCTGATGATGATGATGATGATGATGATGATGATGATTGATGATGATGATGATGATGATGATGATGATGATGATGATGATGATGATGATGATGATGATGATGATGATGATGATGATGCTGATGATGCTGATGATGATGATGGCGATGATGATGGCGATGAGGGCATGCGGAGGGCAGAGAGGGTATGCGGGGGGCAGATACAGGAATGAGAAGGAATGAGGAATGAGCGTCACGGGGCGCTGCGGTTTCAACACGAGGATCCAACACCACAGCATGGTTGGCAGTGATCATCATGCAGGTCAACGAGGTGTCCAGCGATATCCCCCTTTCGAAGAAGGACCGCCCCCCCCATCCGTACAACTCTTGCGCAGGATTACCCTTGTGGTCGTGATCCCCGCGGCAGTATCGAGCGGCAGCTCCATTTTGGAAAGGAGCCGCCGTGGACCCGTGCAGCGGGACGGCGAACTCTCGGGCTCGATCCTGCTAGCCGTTGCGCGGCGATCAGGCGCGAGCCTTACCGTTCGAAGGAACCGCCTTCCATCCGCGAAGCTCGTGCGAACTTGTGAGACGAAAGTGTGCGGCGCTCAAGCGAGCGCCTCATTCTGGAAACGACCCCCTTTGCATCCGTGATCGCGGCGCCTCATTTTTGAAACGACACCCCTCCGTCATTGAAGCTGTCTCTATTTTCAAGAGTGTATGTGCGTGGTGGCGAGACGAGAGCCACACTTGGAACATACCCCTCCTCCATCCGTGAACTATCGACACGCCTAGGTTCGACAGGGAGGAGTTATTTCTACGGAAAAGGGGTGGAGGAGGAGGAGGAGGATGATGAGAAGGAGGAGGAGGAGGAGGAGGAGGAGGAGAAGGAGGAGGAGGAGGATGAGGAGGAGGAGGCGGAGCGCGAGGCATTTTGGAGGCCTTTCGGGGGGGCCTGGGGGGGCTTCCTGAGCACCTCTCGGAGGCCTCTGGGGGGCCCGTCTGACGCCTTCGCAGGCCGTTTTAGGGGGCTCTTTGGGCCGTCTTAGGGCCCTCTTGGGGCGATGTAGGGCCGCCTTGGAGGTCTCTTGGGCTGCCTTGGGGCCCCCTTCACGCCGTCTTGGCCGTCTTGGCGTCTCTTGAGCTGTCTTTGGGCCCTCTTGGCCCGTCTGGTGGTGGCCCTCTCGGGGCTTTGGGGCCGTCGTGGGGCTATCTTGGGGATCTTCTGAGGCCGTTTCGTCTTGAGATGTCGAACGCCAGAAACGGCGAGAACTCGACAATCATTCAATAGCCAAAGTGGAACTCATAATGTTGACCCCTTGTGGCCTTCCTGTAGGGCTTGTTGGAGCCCTCTTGGGCCGAATCGGGGGCCTCTTGGGCCGTCTTGAGGCCTTTGGGGCCGTATTGGAGCCATCTTGGGCTGTCTTAGGGCCATCTTTGGGCCACCTTGGGCCTTTCTGGGGCCATGCTGTCCGTCCTGGAGGCGTCCTGGGCCCGGCTTTGGAGGCCATTTTGGGGCCTTTTTGGACGGCGCCGCCCACGGGATGCACCTTGTCCGCAGGGCTGGCGGCCTGGGCCCGAGACCACACGGAACCTTCGCTGAAGGATCAAACAGAGGTACGAAGGTCTGACACGCCGAGCACCACTCCGGCAGGCTGCGGGGGCGGCGGGTCTGCCGGCCCTCTGCCCATCCCGCCGCCAGGCCGCTCCAAATTAGAGGAGCAGGACGTCGTCATGGTGCTGCGCTCCAGGAGTCAACACTTTCTCCCAGGTTCCCCAGATTCCCTCGAGTGTTCCGCGCGGGCTCCAGAGACGGCGGCCGTTAGACACTCCAGAGTTTCCAGTACGCGCGCTGAGGCAATCGTGTCATGACGTTGCTCTCGTCCTACCAAGAGCCTTTGGATGTGGTGCCACCCTCCGTGGCCAGAGACATTGAAGGCACGCGCACGGTTTCCCAATGATTGCTTGCTTCTGGAGCGGTCCGAGCCCCCCTGGACGAGCGTCTACAGTGCTAAAAACAGAGTTCGACGGGGCCCTGATGGCACTCGACCCGTTGTCGTGGCGCCAACTCCGCAGAACGAGTGAGCTTTGGGCTGATGTGCGACTTCTGCCTTGGATTTTACTCGGATTTTTCGTATCGCTCCTCGCAGGCAAGGATGAATCAAGCCGCTCGAAGTTCACAGCAGTATTCGCCCGCCGGCCTGCAAAGTTCCAGCAACTACACCCAAGATGCTGAAGTAAGGACCACTTTCGGTTCGGAAGGGGCCCGCTGTTCCTTAGGCCAATCCGTGGTTGTTCCTCTAGCAATCCACGTGCACCCAGGCTCTCTTGGTGCCAACAAGGGGTTTCGTTCCTTATTTAGCGTTCCTTGTTTTAGCAGCACGACTGTATGAGACACCTACGTGACAGATCCGTGCAGCCTTTCTTCGGAGGGCGCAAGCTATGCACCTACATGGATCCTGGTCAGGTCGATCCTTGGGTCGAGGATCGGTGCACATGCCCCCCTGACCAAGCCAGGAGGGCGTACACACCCATCCTGGGCCCAGGATGGGCCTGGCCAGAATCGGCGTAGGTACCGAGTCGGCGTCTTCCTGCTCCTGCAGTGCCAGAGCCATGACTCGGTGCCCACGGCACGGTGGCGGATCAGGCCCGGGGCAGAGCGCCTGGGGGACGACGGGGAGGCTCGTGCAGTGGCACCAGACGCGGGCGCGCGGGGCCGTAGGCTCTGCTGGCCGCAGCCGCGGCTTGCCCCGCCTCTGCGCGGGCGGTTTGGTGGGCCATCTGCCGGCGTTCCGAGCAGTCCCCGGGGGCTCTCGGTGGGTATTTTGTGGGAGGGAGGCGCGGCAACAGGAGGCGTGTTTCGAGCAGCGGGAGGAGGAGGGAGGATGATGAGGGGAGGAGGCGAAGGAGGAGGAGGAGCAGGAGGAGGAGAAGGAGGAGGAGCAGGAGGGATCAGGTCGATGAGGATGATGATGCTGATGATGATGATGATGACGATGATAATGATGATGATGATGATGGTGACGATGCTGATGATGATGATGATGATGATGATGATGAGGAGGGTGATGATGATGATGCTGATGATAATGCTGATACTGATGATGATGATGCCGATGATGATGCTGATGATGATGATAACGAGGATGATGATGATGCTGATGATGATGATGATGATTATGATGAGGACGATGATGATGAGGATGATAATGATGATGGTGATGCCGCTGATGATGATGATGTTGATGCTGATGATGATATTGATGATTATGATGAGGATGATGCTGATGCTGATGATGATGCTCATGATGACGATGGTGGTGCTGATTATGTAACGATGCTGATGATGCTGCTGCTGATGATGATGCTGACGATGATGCTGATGCTGACGACGTTGATGATGCTGATGCTGATGATGCCGATGATGATGCTGATGATCATTTTGCTGATGATGACGATGATAATGAAGATGATGATGCTGATGGTGATGATATGATGCTGATGCTGATGCAGCTGTTGGTGATGCTGATGATGGTGATGATGATGCAGATAATGATGATGATGATGATGATGATGATGATGATGATGATGATGATGATGATGATGATGATGATGACAATGATGCTGATGATGCTGCTGACGATGACGACAGCGTCGTTGACGACGATGGTGCTGATGATCATGATGAATATGATAATGATGCTATTGTTGATGTTGGTGATGCTGATACTGGTGATGATGATGAGGAGGAGGAGGAGGAGGAGGAGGAGGTGGACTTTTGTGTTGCTGGTACTGATGATGATGATGACGATGGTGATGGTGCTTCTCCTGCTGCTGCTGCCGCTGACGATGATGATGACGAGGATGGTGATCATTGTACTGATGATGCTGGTGCTGATGCTGATGCTGATGCTGATGCTGCTGCTGATGATGATAGTGCTGATGCTGATGCTGATGCTGCTGGTGCTGCTGCTGCTGCTAATGATGATGATGATGACGATGATGATGACGATGACGATGCTGATGACGACGATGATGCTGCTGATGATGACGATGATGATGATAATAATGGTGCTGATGACGATGATGATGATGATGATGATGATGATGATGATGATGATGATGATGATAATGACGATGCTGATGATGATGATGATGATGATGATGGTGATGCTGATGATGATGATGATGATGATGATGCGACTGCTGCTGCTGATGATGATGAAGATGGTGATTATGAGCAGGATGGTGCTGATGCCGATCATGATGATTATGATGAGGCTGATGATGCTTATGGGCATGCAGTTGATGCTGATGATGATGACGACGCTGACGCTGGTGCTGATGCTGATATTGACGTTGGTAGGTATGACGAAGATGATACTGATGCTGCTGATGATGATGATGATGATGACGATGCAGATGACGATGCTGCTGATGCTGCTGATGGTGATGATAATGATGCTGATAATGATGATGATGATGATGATGATGATGATGATGATGATGATGATGATGATGATGATGATGATGATGATGATGCTGATGATGATGATGATGATGATGATGATGATGATGCGAGACTGATTCCGATCGTGATGATTGTTATGATGGTGGTGATGTTGATGGTGCTGATGATGCTGCTGAATCTGTTGATGCTGCTGATGATGACGACTATTACGATGATGTGGATTCTGATTATTATGATGATGCTATTGTTGTTGTTGTTGCTGTTGGTGACGCTGATGATGGTGATGATGGTGATGATGCATATGTGATGATGCTGATAACCATGATGATGCTGAGGATGATGCCTCTGCTGATGATGTAGATTATGATGATAAAGCTGCTGCTGATGATCATGATGATGATGTTGATGCTGATGATACTGCTACTGGTGATGATGATACTGATGATGATGATGATGATGATGATGATGATGATGATGATGATGATGATGCTGGTGATGATGATGATGCTGCTGATGATGATGCTGCTGATGACGATGTTGATGCTGGTGCTGATGCTGCTGATGATGTTGATGCTGATGTCGATGATGATGATGAGCCTGCTGATGATGACGATGCTGATTCTGATGGTGATGATGCTGATGATGCTGATGCTGATGACGATGCTGATGCTGATGCTGGTGCTGATGATGATGACGATGCTGATGCTGATGATGATGATGACTATGATGATGATGACGATGATGATGCTGATGATGACCAGGATGATGCTGATGATGATACTGATGATGCTGCTGATGATGCTGATGATGATGATGATGCCGATGCCGATGATGATGATGATGCTGATGATGATGATGATGATGATGATGATGACGATGATGATGATGATGATGATGATGATGATGATGATG